TCTTCATCTGTCATGCAGCCGGAGGCAGAACTGGTTGTTTTCTTATGCAGTTGTGAAGGATGCAAGAATACTAGTCATAATCTTTTCTGGCTCTTTGGTCAGCATAAACATATATGGCAAATGTCTCTGCTTGTTTGTTCAAGTTTTAACTCTTACAGTTTTTACCACCTCACATGTTGTCTGTGGGCTTGCCCCTCTCCCTGCTTCATGAGTGAGCTACAAGCCATGAAGCAAGAGAAGAGAAAGCTTAAAGAGTAACAGGAGGAAAACTCGCCTGCCTGCAGTAAGAAAAATGTCCAGCAGATATTGCAAGGCAGAGATTGGCAAAAAGACTGTATTATTACTTCTTAATAATACAGGAACTGCCTTCAGACCATCAAGCAACTCTCTGCTGAGTGGTTCACATCCTCATGAACGCTGGACAGTGCAAGGGGCCTCAATCTGATGTAAACATCTGTAACTGTTTTGCAGCCCACTTTCAGTCCAAGTTTGAGACCTTCCAGCGGGACGTGGACAATGTTAGTGAGGCAGCTGATCAGGCTGAGATATCCAGTGCACTGTCTTGTCCTATTTTGTTGGATCAGTTTCAGCCTGTGAAGCCTGATGATGTGGACAAGATGCTTGCACGTTGTAAGGCTACAACCTCTCCATCAAACCCGTCCTTCTTGTCTTGTAAAATCTGTCAAGGAGGTTATGGTGGAACGAGCCGCTCAGATTATTAATACATCTTTACAAGAGGGCTTCATGCTCTCTTGTTTGAAGGAAACTGTCAGGCCCATTCTGAAAAAGACCAGCTTAGCAACAGATGATGTAAACAATCACAGACCTGTTGCTGACATCTCGTTCATGGGAAAAATGACTGCGAGGGTGGTGGCAGACCAACTGCTGCCATTCTTGGAAGATACTGATAGTCTGGATCCATTTCAGTCAGGGTTCAGGCTTTGCCACAGGACAAAGGTTGTCCTGATCACTCTGCTCAATGACCTGATAAGGGAGGCTGACCAGGGGAGTGTGACCTCGTTGGTCCCCCTAGATCTCCCAGCAGCCTCTGATGCTGTCAACCTCAGTATCCTCTTGGACAGACTATTGAGTTTGGGGGTTGGAGGCCTAGCTCTGGGTTGGCTCCACGCCCTTCTTGAAGGTCATGTCATAAGACATAAGAAGAGCCCTGCTGGATCAGGCCCATCTGGTCCAGCTTCCTGTATCTCACAGTGGCCCCACCAGGTGCCTCTGGGAGCATTCTTCACCTGGTTGCCACCACACACACTTGACACCACCTGAACCATATAAGTTGATCTTGATCTCATTGGACCAAAGGACATGGTTCCAAAAATCCATGTCCTTTGTCTGCAGCAAGCCATATGTGAGCTTTCTTGTGCATCATCTTTAGAAGAGGCTTCCTTCTAGGACGACAGCCCTGGAGACCAATTTGATGCAGTGTGCAGCGTATGGTCTGAGCACTGACAGGCTGACCCCCCCCCACCCCTTCAACCTCTTCAGCAGTGCTGGCAGCACTTATACGTCTATTTTCCAAAGCCAACCTCTGGATATGATGCTGAGCATGGGCACTCAATTTCTTTGGTCGATCATAGCGAGGCCTGTTCTGAGTGGGACCTGTCCTGTTCAAATGCTGTATGGTCTTGGCCACCGTGCTGCAGCTCAGTTTCAGGGTTTGGGCAATCTTCATATAGCCTAGATGCCATCTTTATGTACAGCAACAATTCATTTTTTTCAGATCCTCAGATAGTTCATTACTGTGAGGTGCCATGTGGAACTTCCATTGACCAGTCTGAGTGAGAGCAATAACGCCTGCTCCTCCTTCACATTTGAGACTTGTGACACTAAGGAGTTTCACGACACCAGGGAGGGAAAATGGCTACTTGGGCCTAATTTGGACATTGTCATTTGGGAGTGTACTCACTTTTGTTGCCAGCAGTTTAGACATGAATGTGTTATTTTGAGGGGGACAGCACATTTACACTGTTATACAAGCTGTATACTCACTGCTTTACATTGTAGCCAAGTGTCATTTCTTCAGTGTTGCCACATGAAAAGATATACTAAAATATTTATGAAATGTGAAGGGGTATACTCACTTCTGTGATATACTGTAAGATACATTTATCTTTTGTTTCCATCCCTGTCCTTCTAGGTCTTGAAAGTTATTAACATTCTAGAATAGGTCCACAATCTCCTCATGATCTCTTTGTCCATTTGTTGCAACCTGTTCCCTTATGTATTCCTCATCCCTTATGCCAGAGTAGCCTTCTTTGGAACTCCTGGCTTTGAAAGCAAACTATATTTGAGACTCAAAACTGAAATGAGCATAAGCAGATCACACAAAAACAAACAAAAAACACCAGGAGACAAAAATGTGGCACTTTACAGACTAACTCCTATATTTTATTGTGAGCTTTCATAGATCAAGTCCACTTCCTCAGACATAAAAGTGAGATTATGTGAGTGTAAATATTTATACATGGCCCCATTACCAGATGTGGGTACAGATAACAGACAAAGAGACAATTATTTAATGTATTCGCGAAGGCTTTCACAGCCGGGATCTAATGGTTGCTGTGGTTTTTTGGGCTCTTTGGCCGTGATTTGTTAGTAAAGGAAGAGTATCAGGCTGTGAATAATGTCAATTATCAATCTACAAGACAACCCTAGCATAGTTAAGACAAGTAGCAAACTGTGAATCAATTTAGCATTTCATACTTAATAAGATTTTAAAACCCTTGATTGATCTTCAGCCCTTATATTCTCTTTGAAGTCTTGTTTTAAATATTTTTTCCCTGTAATAGTGACTTTCCAGTCATTTAAGAGTATCTGGGTAGACTGAAGTGTTTTGAAACAGTTTTTTGTGTGCATATTGTCATTCTTTATGTCAGGTTTGTGTCCATTAATTATTTTGCACAGAGATTGTTCTGTGTAGAGTGCAAAAGGGCATTTTTGGCAAACAATGGTACAGGTCATATTAGCAGAGGAACAAGTAGAGGTGCTCCAGACATTGTACGTGACATTCTTGAGACCTGTAATTGTGTTACCAGAGTAGATGGGATGGCAGAATTGGCATCTGGGTTTATAGCAGGGTTTGGCCCCATCTAGGGACATGGTGGCGCTGCGGGCTAAACCGCAGAAGCCTGTGCTGCAGGGTCAGAAGACCAGCAGTCGTAAGATCGAATCCACGCAACGGAGTGAGCTTCCGTCACTTGTCCCAGCTCCCGCCAACCTAGCGGTTCGAAAGCATGTAAATGCGAGTAGATAAATAGGTACCACTTCGGTGGGAAGGTAAAATGGCGTCCCCTAGTCACACTGGCCATGTGACCACGGAAACTGTCTTCAGACAAGCGCTGGCTCTACGGCTTGAAAACGGGATGAGCACCGCCCCCTAAAGTCGGACGTGACTGGACTGAAAATGTCAAGGGGAACCTTTACCTTTACCTTTTTG